AGAAAACTGAAGGACTCCAGTGGCCAGGTATCAAGGGCAACTTGAGGGCCCCTTTACTTTTAATTATGACTACATGCTCTCTACTAACTTGTCCTCTTACATAATTCAAGCATGCAGTAATGGAGACAATTGACCGTCATAAGCTATCACAGCCTTTAGATGACCTAGATGTTACACATCCGCCAAGTATCTCTCTTTCATATGATCAAGACGGGATTACTGTATGGAAGAATACAATACAAATGTTCCAATTCATAGAATTATTTCAGTATATATAGCTATTTATTACTAGTCCAAGTAGATTTTTTATTTATTTTATTCTTTTGGCCCATCTTGCATAAACAACTCTTCTGTGAGAATTATAGAATTTGCATTCTAAATCAAATATTCTAGCATTCAGCTCTATCTATACTTACATTACTTTTTCTCCGTGTCTTTGCATCTTGAGATATATCATATATTTAAGATTATTTACTTATTTAATCTTTAATCCGGGTGGTTCATAAATAGTAATGTAAAAACCAATACCAACCAAAAGCAAGAAGGGATCTGGGCACAATATACAAACAGAAAACAAAAATAAGAAATACACCCAAGGGGCCCCATCTGTCTCAGCCTGGGAGAACCACCAGATCTTCAAGGTTTACAGAACACCAACACAGTGGAAGCCACATGGATTTCAGGAGGGACCTCATTCTAGATGGCAGGGACCGCAACAGAGTAGGCACACTTCTGAGCTACCAATAGATGATGTTGAGAGCCAGTTTGGTGTAGTGGTTATGGCACCAGGCTACAAACCAGGAGACCATGAACTCTAGTCCTGACTGAGACACAAAGCCAGCTGGGTGACCTTGGGCCAGTCATGCTCTCTCAGTCCTAGGAAACAGGCCAGGGCAAACCACTTCTGAAAAACCTTGCCAAGAAAACTGCAGGGAGTAGTCCAGACAGTCACCAGAAATCAACAATGACCTGAAGATACAAAATGAATGAATGAATGAATGAATGAATGAATGAATGAATGAATGAATGAATGAATGAATGAATGAATGAATGAATGAATGAATGAATGAATGAATGAATGAATGAATGAATGAATGAATGAATGAATGAATGAATGAATGAATGACATTGTTTAATTGAACGGACCTGGTGTGCACCACCTCTCCTGGCACATACCATCCCAGCACAAACCATGGGAGAGAGGAGTCCTTCAAGTAACATGGCCCTATGCTTTGTAGGGCTTTATAGATCATCACCAGCACCTTGAATTGCACCTGGAAGCAGACTGGTAACCAGTGCAGCTCGTGAAGTAGAGATATTACATGGGCATAATATTTTTAAAGGATTCAATACTTGTCAATTTAACAAGATTTGGGGGGGTAAAACCTCCTGATTTGCTAATATTGATAAAATGGCAAGTGCAAAACAGAATCTCTGTATGAAACAGCTTTCAGGAAATCTGTGCCCAAACCTATCTGAGAAGTTGTGATATATACTTCAAATGAAACATGGTTGTTTTGTTCTGGGCATGGACCCAAACATGTAGCAATAAACCAAGATGGCAAAGGTATTCAAGAATTCAGAAAATCCCAAAAGGGGCACTTTTTTTCACAGAACTGTAGGTACCTCAGCTCTTTATTTATATTTATATTTCAAATTTAGTCACTGCCCATCTCACTCAAAGAGTAACTCTGGGCGTTTACTGTTAAGCTCTTGAAATTTACAACTAAAGAAGATTTACTTTAATGAGCTTGTGAGCACAGAGAGCTTATTATAGAGTCCCAATCATTCTCAGATTTTTTTTCCCTGAGTATTCAGAAGACAGGCATGTCTTCTTCTGCAGCAAAAAGCTGTCCAAAGAAATCTTCTGTATCTGGTTATCCACATACCTTTTTTTTTTTTTTTTTTTTTTTGCCTTCGAGTCAGTCTTGATCCCTGCCAACTGTCTGGACATGTCTTCGCAGTGTTCTTGGCAAGATTTCAGAAGTGGTTTGCCATTGCCTCCTTCCTAGGGCTGGGAGAGAATGACTGGAAGTTGGGGATGTGGTGATGCGGGGATTGTTAGTGTTATTTCTTTTATTATGGTTGTTTTTAGTTTTGTATACGTAACACAAGGCTTCTCTCTCTCTCTCTTGGGTTTGTTCTGTGTTGTTTAAGTGGAGGTTAACATTTAACATTTCAAATGGTAATTTTTGCAATCATGAATAGATTTGGGGAATTTATTAGGTTTTCAAAATGTGTGTGTGCAAATGCACATATACCCACATATATTCTGAATTACCTCATCTTTGAATTACTACATCTTTGGAGGATGCACCATAAAACATGAATGTCTAGGTCCTCCCAACAAGACACAAGCAAATATGGATTGAACAAACATGTGGGGAAAGATGATTTCAAAGACCAGGACAAGCTTCCATTATTTAAATTTATAACACATTTTGTCTTTTTTCCTCATTAAAGGCACACCCTCAAGCAGGGAACCATTAAAAAGCAATTTATGATCAATTGAAACAGATTGATTGAAAAAGAAAATCTCCAAAAATAACACACTTCAAACATGAACAGCTTAAAAACTGTAATACAGGAGACAAGTACATAGATGGCTCAACAACCTCAGTCTGGACAACTATCTGGGTGAAGGGATATCTCTTGGCACTGAAAGCTGATAAAACTCAGGGCCAGCTTAAGTGAACAAGAAGGGAATTCCGCAGCCAGGGAGGTGACAGTGAGCACGTGCAGCAGAACATCTCACTGGCAGATGTACTAGTCTCAAGGGAGCCCCTCCACTGAATCTTTAATTGATGGGCAGATACATAAAAGTTCAGCGTTCCATCAGATATCTGTATGCTAAGTCACGTATGGTTGTGCATGCATAGGACTTTATGAATGCTCTGCAAATGGATGACAACCTAATAATGGCAACACTACAGAAAGGAAGAAAGTTGCAAATCTACATTTTTTTCCTGAGCAAAGAACACAATGTCCTTGAAAGCTGGAGAAGAGCCACAACATCCATTTCCTTGCCTGGTATCAGCCTGTTTCTTTCAGGATTATCTGTCAAGACTCTGTAGAGAGTCAGCAATAGCAATACCGTCTTCCCTGCTTAGAGCCAAGGTCGAGCTTTGAAATTCAAAAAGACCAGGAGCTTAAGAAAAGAAATAGAGAGATCCTAATTTAACAGCACCACAACCTTTGGTAAAAATAAGCAGAAAAATGTTTTACTGCCAATTATATTAACTCTTCATATTCTTTTCACTGAATTGTCATTCTTGAGGGAAATTCTATTAAAGCAGCTTTTCCCAGCCTGTTACTCTCTGGAATATCTTGGGAATTACAATTCCCAAGATACTTTACTCGCTGAAAGCAGAACAAATTGTTCCTTACCTCTATCAAAACAAATGTTTAAACCCTGCACCCTTCAGACATCAGCTTTTTCTTTCCCCATCCAAATATGGCAGAGCTATAATTTCCAGCTTGCATGGCCACTGGCCCAAGAGCACATAAGGAGGAAGCAAGAGATCAAGTCCTTGCAACACCTTCAGACTCTACTGATCCAGTCTCTGATCTGTAGCCTCTGAACCCCAAGCAGCATCTCGGTAGTCAAGTAGGCTCAATCAGGCTTCCCCAAGCATCAGAATCACGAAGAGCGCTAGTTGAGCTGGGAGGCTGGGGTGGCAGCTGTTGGAAACTTTATAAAGCAGAATCAGGCCGGAGACAACATGCGTTTCAACCTGCCTTTCAACCTCACCTGTGTCAGAACCTGTGACTCAACTGCTTCCTTGGATCTATCAAGCTTAACCTAGACCTCCAGTACTCTTCTAATCTCTCTCTCTCAAGCTGGTACAGTATTCCTTGGCTGCAGATCCGTGGACTGGCTTGCATTACCCTTTGGTTCTAGATCTCTGTAGTCTAGATCTCTAATGTGCTGGTTTTGACCCTGGCTATTTCACCATCCTTCTCTTTCAATCCCAGCACCCCCATGGGATGGAATGCAGACTTTCTGGTCAGAATTTAGTCTGGAAATTCTGAGTGTGATTCTGTACCACCTCTGAAACATGTACTGTACCTCTGCCATCACACAAGTCCCCAAGGGCACAATCTGTTTATACCTGGAGTCATATTGGTACATTAAAAAAAAATGAAACTGGAACAATATACCAAAAAAAAAAAAAAGTAGTCTCTGTTATCATCTATACATGGTTTATTAAATACCTTACTTTTTAAGATTAAAAACAGAAGTTTAGATTATTGTGAACTTCACAGGCTCTCAATTTATTTTCAGTTGGAATTCAAGTTGCTAGTATTAAACTATAAAGCCCTTCATGGCTCAGGAATGCAGATCTGATGATATACTGTACTTCTTCCCATATGCTCTTACCCATACCTTTAAAACCATTTTGCTCCAGGTATCCTCCTGAGCTGCACTGAGTAGCTCCTAGAAGTGGGCCTTCCCAGCGACGACCCTACAAACCTGGAATGCCATCCTGAGCAGCACCAACTTTATTATTATTATTCCACCATCAGGCAAAAATGTCCATCTATCCAGCAGCACTCTTGGTGGCAACCAAAAAGCAAAAATGTCAACGATCATAAAACATACTTCCCCCTCAAAAACCCTGGTAGAGGCCTCTTTATTAAAAATCCCAAAAGACACCAACCCAGTTCAACTGAGCCTTTAAATCTAATCTGTATTGTCTGTTGCAAATTTTAATCATTGTTCTAGTTTTTTCAGATTGTCATTTTAGGCCATTGTAAGCTTGCTTGGGAAAACTTTGTTTTGAAAGGTTGTGGACTATTGAAAAAAATAAAGTTAGTACAGTATCTCCAAACAAGACGCAGTGAGTGGGCTGTTTGGGAAAGGACTTTTTCAACAGCACAACCCAACTGCGGGACATCCTACCCTTGGCAACTCGCCTTGGCCTACTGTGCGTTCTTTCTGGTGTCAGGGAATGCCTCTTTTAAAATCCCTACCCTTTTCTTCTAAATTCTTGAATGTCAGAGTTAAAACCAGATTGAAATATTTCATTGTGCTGCTTGAAATACTCTGCTGCACTGACTTTACCCTCTGTCACAAGATTTCTGTATGCTATGTTATATTTGCCATTGTTAACTGGGCAGCCACAGAAACATCTTGAATGAATGAATGAATGAATGAATGCATGAATGCATGAATGCATGAATGC